ATTTAAGTATACTCTGAAGTGCATACACATCATTCTGCTCATAGTATCGGCATTTTAATTTCCTCAGCTTTCTTTTAAAAGTATTTTGGTCCCTATTAGCATTATAAGCCACACGGCCAATAACCGGAGCAGTGCAGTCAGGACAATATATCACGTCGTGGTATAGATTGAAAAGCGCAATGTCAACATTATTTGTGGTAAAATAAGTTTCCCATGGTAAACATTCAGTGAGAGTTTCAGTCCGTTTCCAGATTTGTTGAACAAAATGTCTGCTCTGGTACATCACTGAAGCTTTAGAGTTCAATTGTATGGCGTTTAGAGAATGAATTATACTCAATACAACTCGACGATCACTCATAAAAAACTCATGACTGGTATGCATTGAGATAGAGTCTATGTTGATTGTGAACATTAAATCAAGTGTATTATTCCCCCTGGTTGGTTTTCGGACCTGTTGAACCTATCCACAAATTTCTAATGTCTCAACTAGCTTGTTATATCGACCTGGTACCGGAGTCAAGCCCCATGAAATTTTTGGCAGATTAAATTCACCTCCGATGATTTTAAAAGTATGCGGTTGGTGCGAAGCAATGGAAAATATGTTTGTTAGTAATTTGTCAAACTTAGTACTCGCATGAGATGGTCTATATATACATCCCACAAGTAAATAATTTTGGGATCCACAGTTTACAGTCACCCAAGTGGAGTCGTCTATAGCATCAAGGGATTTATCCTCAAATTTGCACGCTTAAATGTCTGAACGGACATAGATAATTGAACGGCCTCCTAATCCATAACATCTATCGGTTCTAAAGAAAACGTAGTTATCAACATTCAAGGAATGATCGGATATAGATGAATTACACCACGTTTCCGTAATAAGTACAATGGTTGGATTTACAAGGAATAAAAGAGTTTTAAGATGAATAATTTTATTAGACAGAGAGCGGACATTGAACGAAAGAATAAGAAACTCAGAGTCATCATAGTGAAGCAGGTTAGAGTATAAATCGCAATTGGTAGTTCCATGAATACTCATAGGATTAGCTAAGGTAAGAGTCGTGTTGCGAGGGGAAATAGATTCAACTACTTTGTCATCATGTGAAATATTTTTACCGTTGCCGGCAGGAAAGCCGTCGAAATTACAAAAAAGTCTTCTCATTGCTATTGGATATAACATCTGATAAGGGCATACTGTACATGTTGGGAGCCGGACCAAGAAGGCTATCAGGTCTATGGTTGTGACCAAGTGACCAATTACAATTCAGATAACTATTTATACCTGACGTATGGGTAACGTGTTTAAGACGTTTATTTCCAAGGTTTGTGGTTGGTTTCGGCTCCTTCATAAGTTGGAGAGGATTGTGTACTGTTAAACATACTTGCGATGGTTTGCGAAGTTCGAATATATCAACGTTAAGTGCGTGGTCAGTTATATGAATGTTATGATTAGTTTTCCTGTTACTCGTTGCACAGTTACTGTAACTGGGTGTTGCACTATTAGGGGTTTGAATTGTGTTATCCCATTCTTCATCAGCACAACTACTTCGGGTTGAATCTAAGTCAAAATTCTTAAGAGGATGGACACCACCTACATCGGGATTACTTTCTTCTGGGTTTTGAACTTTATGAGATTCAGAAGAGTTTTTCGGTGGCGGCAAAGTTGTTAAGCTAGACGTCCTCTTAGAATCGGACTTAACTTTACAACCATTAGGATTATGATGCGTTTGAGAGTTTGACGCTGATGGTCTGTTTTTCGCTGGCATGGTGTTTTATCCGGAAGAGTCTTAATGTCCTTGAAAATCTGTTTTTGTCTCAATGAATTGGAGGAATTTAAAAACTCACTGGCGTCTACAGATGAGTTGAATTTGAACAAGATCGGTGAGTGCATACCAGGATGAATTATTTTTAATCTTGTGCATACACATGGTACGTGTGTCATATTGCTGGCTCTAAGCAGACTAGATTTGATATTTTTAAGGGCATGTGCATCCGGTATATTAAACACAATTGCATTGCTAGATCGTCTTATTCTTTCAAATACCTCTGATGCAACACGATCTAGGAAAATATTTATGTCATTCATTTGATCTGAAGTCTCTGTGAGGTTGGGGTTGATGAGATATTTCAGCGGATTGAGAATGTTCATGTATACTTGCAACTTTTTATAGCATCCATATGGTTGCAGTTGCGATTATCATCACTGTTTACCAGCAGAGTTTTCAACATGTCTGGAATGAAGACAACTGGTAAAATCTTGTCTGCCTCCGGATGAACGGAGTGGCTCGTCTCATTGAAACTGTTGGAAATCGTGTCAGTAGTGGCGTTAAATTGTGTCGTTTTCCTACGTTTGGCTGGACGCCTAGGAGCTGGGGTCTTCATTTTCTTTTGTGGCATGATAAGAAAGTGACGTATAGCAAGTGGTTTGAACAGAATGTTGGAAATAGGGGTGAAAAAATCAATTCCGAGGGCTCAAGTTAGTCTAAAAATCAAAATCTATGTTTTAACCAAGAGTGAATGTATCGTGAGGATTAGTGGTGTTAAAATCAAAAGATGACAATGGCAGGTAGTAGTGGAGATGAGGTATTTATGTCATTATCTGTGTGGAGGCAAAATAGAATATAAAGGAGCAAGTTGTATAAATTTTAACATATATGACACGAAAGATAGCCTTATATAGTAAAGTAATTTAGAAATGTCGTTAATTAGTATCAAACAATCAAAAAAGCACAGTAAGTGATACATATATAAATTGAAAGTCCGTATTAGTAAAAATTGGGAGGTGCAGAGATAAGTAGTTCAGAAGATTATTACCGTCTAAGATTATTATGTTGCTTCTTGAACAAATATATGAAACAGCTTATTGGAAAAAAAACTATGACAGACTCACCGAATTGGACAGGTAATTTCGGAAATGAAATAATTTATAGTATCTAAATACGATTTAAATGATAGTTCATGAAATAGTGAATACAGTCCTTTAAAATACACGGTTATATATATTTCTTGATATTAGGTAGAGGTTTGAATAGATCCTGTAGATACATAAAGTACGTGGGTTAAAGCATTCAAATACGATACAACCATATATTCCTTAAGAAATAGAATACAGATATGAAATGCAAATCTTCGTCAAATATGATTTTATATACATTAAGCCAGTATTAGACCATTCTGTAGCCTGTGGTAAGATGACGGAAATATGTTGAGGCGTTTCAGTCTGTCTTTGTAAAACAAGCCAGGGTAACGTATTTGGATGCTCTTGCTTGAAAAGTACAATAATCAAAGAGAACTGGACTATGTAGTCGTACCTTGACTACTCCACAATAAATGACTTAACTTCAATGGGTATGAACATGGTCTGCTCCGCCTCTCTTCCTTTCTGTTTCTTACCCTCCTTTTCAACCCCCTTGATATATGCCACCGAAAACAGATGTGAAACGCGTTACTTCGTACTGCGCCATCGTTAATGCTTCAGCTGTTCCAGAAGGATATAAGATCGCAATTTCTTGAAGTTCTCGACTGTACGTGGATTTATTCTCGACCATCAGTTGCACGTCGCAACGCAACATCCACAAAGCGCGTCAATTGTCATATTTACGATACGAGTTTAATTAATATTATTTACATTCATATGTGAGAAGAATTATACCACTTTATAGTGAGACTTAGTTTTTGTTTAGTTTATGAAACAGAACAGTTGGGAGGTTATCTTTTTCAAACACACATAGTCTTTCAACATTCAACATAAAATAATAGGAAGTATAATCCCTACACAAAAGAAGGAAGTGAGTGAATACTTGTGCTGTAATGTTCTTACATTTCTAAGATATTTGGGTCCAACTATTAACCAGCCGACCTAGGTTGTTCCAGGTCTTAGATCGTGGTTTACTATCATATTCAGATTCTCGTGAAACAGATCTAATGTTACCAACGTCAGACACGTGCAGTAGCAATTTATCTTCGCATCTTCGGTGTACACATAAACACACTTAGTTGCTTTGATAGACACCAACCACCTTTCAGACCAGCCTACCGGATAGTCTTTGTTGGCCTGGAGTGTACATACATCGGCGTACCTCGTTACTCCTTGCCAAATTTCAACATCATCAGCACAACACAGCACCAGGGAGTTAACCATACTCGGGAGTTCCTTTAAACATGGTGTAAAAGGTAAATGACCTGAAACATAGCCTATTGATACTCTACCAAGTACTGCATTACAATGTGAGAGTTTGGCATTCATTTTTACTTCATGTTTACGACCTGCCGAAAACTCTCCTATCCAATTTAGATTTCTTCCGTCGCATAATGTTCATTCAGTCTCAAACAGAAGATGCTTGGTATGAACCAAGATGTTTGAGTTCGGATGCATGCTGTAGTAAAGCATGTTCTAATACCGTCATCAGGAGCCTACTATGAAAAGAGTTTTCAGATCTTACGATGACCCTATCTGTCCAACTAATATCAGGAGCATTAAAATATCCGAATATCAGGCATCTGTTGTTTTAATCTATTGCTCAACGTGCTCTGAGAAAAAGTCATCGGGTAAGCAGATTGAAATCTCTTTTCGAAACTACAAGCACTTTTATATAAGACTTCTAGAGAGAATGACATACCCACCCTAGTTTAGCTAGTTCCGTCTTTTTTATTCTGTCTGCCAGAGACATGTCGATCTTCCTCAATTGTCGATGTTTTTGTGAATCCGAGCCCTAATATACAAAAGACGTCGTTGTTCCTCTAACCCTAGGATTATCTTGAGGAGTCTATATGGTCGAAGTCCAACATTGTCGTTGGTCCCTATACACTCTATGAATCGTCACCACCAGTGGTATCCAGTTGTATTTCGCTCATGCTACATTTTTATATTTGTGAGTATTGAATTAGTGATGTAAGCAAAATAAAAGAGAGCTGCGATTGGTCGCCATAAACAACTCAGCCTTAGTTCCAAGGAAATTATTTTGACGCGGTTGAAAGTCCCAGTTAAGCCTAAAGAGCGCGTTACATGGAGTGTGCGTAACTTGACACGTTAGCAAATGGCAAACGAGAAGGCGTTTAATGTTCAGTCTGCTTATTCAGATCTCAACAAGGCTTGTAGTGCTCAAGCGTACGATAAGATTATAAATATCTCTGGGAAAAGTGAGTTTTTGTTTAGCAATACCTTGCTTAGTCTTACTACAGAAATGTTTGCACTTCACTCTGGTTTTTATTATTCCAGAGAAAATTGTAGTGCAAGTGAATCTCCAACATTCTCACCCTAGAATACTTTTTAGCTGTCATTTTTTATTAGGTCAACTGTTTTTCATTATTTAAGGGGTATTTTTGGAGTGGTAGTACTTAGATATAGATTCTCAGTGAACAAGTTCCGAGAATAAACTAACATTAGTTATTTCTGAAGATTTCCACTCTCTAAATGTTCAATTTCAAATTTTGACTGTGCGCTTGGAAGCATTCTACTGTACTTAATCATACCTTTTGCTGTACACGTGCAGTGAAATGATTTCTTGTACATGGGCTTCGATTGAGACCTTAGTATCAATATAACCCTAGTGGGATGTTTTGGATTCCACGTTAAGCATAAAATTTGGTCTACATTTCAATAATTAAGCACTTACGTGGTATTTTCCTTGTAGTTCTTACAAAGTATCCTGGTGAGACTAAAGCTTTCCTGTGCAAGGTTGTTGCCCTTATTCGAACCGAGAAATACGAAGATTGTTTGAGTTTCTTGAAAAGAAACCCAACACTATCTAGGTATGTAAAACTGTCCAGCACTGTTTCATTTATTCCAGTCATGTCATCTTTGAGAAAGCTTACGTTGAATATAGACTTAATCGTCTCACTGAAGCCGCAAAAACTCTTGAATCAGCCGAGGCAAACGATCCAAAAGCTCAGGAACTAAAAGCGCAAGTGGTACGTATTCTTTTTTGCTTCAATCTTCACTTTCTCTAGTTGTACAGGAAAGGTGATTTTGCTGCTGCATACGCCTACCTACGGTCAGTGATTCGAAATTCTCAAGTTAGTAATACACCTAATTCGTTATTCTCTTCTAGGATGATTATAGTGAAGAACGGCTCGCGAATCTAACGGCGGTGGCTGCTGCTGAATCATGCTTTAATAACACTAATCTGGTAAGGATAGATTTTTTATAATCGTTATTTTTTAAAGGACCTAGATGTTAACCCCCAAATGTATGAAGGAAAGTTTAATCTGGCATGTTATCATCTTGGACGTGGTGACTGTCATCTGGCATCCAGATTGTTAGATGATGCTGAAAGTATGATACTTAACTGTTTTTTACTAATGGCCATAGATACTTGTAATCTGTGTCTCTCTGAAGACCCGGAATTAACTGAAGAGGAGAAGAATGAAGAGTTAGCTCCTATAAGGTACAAATATCAAGATAATCTTTTTACTTCTGTTTGAGGTCTTTCTTAAGATAGGTAAATCCACTTTGTTGCTTTATTTTATGAAATCCTGGGAAATGAGACTTTTCGGCTGAACTATATTTAGCAAAAAAGTTAGAAAAGTGAAACGAATTTTAAAATAAGACACTTCTTCAACGTCTTGTAGTACTAATGTGGAAAACCATATTTCGTCCTCAGTTTAGAAGCAGTGTTTGATCCCGTCAATTAGGTGGTGCTTCAAAGAGTATTCTTTGTTCAAATTGTCAGTATAGGTTAGTCAAATTTACTCCTGTTTATTCAAATTCGAGGGTGTTGGGTGAATTATGTCTCACAAAGAGGATCATACCATATCCGACGAGGGAAAATCATCTATTTTAAGTGGAATTCTGCTCCTAGAGACGTTATCAAATATGGCTCAGAATAGAAGCCAGTGGCGATCCTGCTGTAACCTTCTTTTACTTTCTTCATAAAAAGTGGTTGTGTCTCCTTTACCTGAAAGATTTCTTCTGATTGTACCTTTTCGTTCCGTCGTTACTACCACACTACCTTACTCCAATCTCTTCGTCATTGTTCTGTTTTTCTTTTGCGCTCCTTAGTTTTTTTCTACTTCTCTTCGAATTCTCATTGTTTTGTGTGGCGCATATATATTGGCGCTCTCTTGTACCAATATTCATGTGTTCAAATAATAAAATAGTCGGATTAAAATATAAGACCTCTTGTAGATGTGCTGCTATTCATGCTGCCACAATTCTCTCCGAAATTCCAAAAAATAAACAAGTGAAAAAGCTGAAGTGATAAGACTAGTGGAGTCCTAAAGTATGTAAAGAACGGATTCCTTGTGGGGATTCAACTAGGATGATGTTTATTAAAGGTTTAGAAAAGTGGATGTATCTGCGCTACTGTGGTTGATTTTTACCCATATCACTTAAAGGTTGCAATCACAGTTATTAATCGTTATCCACTCCCAACATTAAATCACACTTCAGGATATGAAAGGCTAGACAACCCAACTTCACATATTGTAGACAGCATAATTTGATATTGTTACTCCATAGTTTTTTCGGATCGTAATGTTTAGTAAGAAATAATGACAGATGGTTTATCTACAAAATGTAATGGTTGTAAGAATTCATTACTTGAGATGATTTTCTCCATGAATATTCCTTTTTACAAATGTTTTGACGCTCCCAACTTAGTGTTATAACTTTTAGTTAATGATACTTATAAAACGTATATCCATTATTTTTATTCTTCAAGATCATAAGTAAGACAGGATTAGTCTTCAACGCACATTTTTATTTTCAGAGTTCAGCGAGCTTATATTTTGCAGATCAATAAGGAAGAAGAAGAAGCGAACCAGGTGTATCAATCAGTCATTCGACAAAGGTAATGTGGTTATTTTAAATTTGTTATTACTTCATGCCTTTTAAACTAAGGATTTTGTCAATCAAGAAATAATATTTCTAAAACATTTGTTGATGACGGGTTGCATAATTTATGTAATAAACGTACTAATTTATATTGAGGAGTTTCGTACCTCTAAGAGCCAACCATTTTGATTTTGTCAACCCTACTTCATCATAAGAAATCTTGTTAATGATCTAGTTCACATCAACGATATGAAGTTATATTAATAATTGTTCCTTTGTGCGTAAACTCAGAATGTGCAGATTTTTGATGGGACTTACCTTATGGCAATGAATTGTGTACCACTAACCAGTCAGTCATCAGTGTGAAGCCTGCGACAAATGTGAGCTGACTTGAATTTCCATTCCACGTTAGCACTGTAGGATGGAATCGAAAAGATAAGTAGTCCAGGATCCGGAATAGTATAATTAAAGTGATAATCAGAAAGATAAAGTGTTTAGAATGTAGTTTGGGAAAATGGAATAAAATGATGTATATGAAAGAATACTGGAAATCAAAATCTATACTAAGATATTTAGTGAATACATCTCTATTGTTGACGATTGTGAGCCATTTAATCGAAAAATCTCCAAGCACTACTCTCAGTTGTCTCGCAAACCTTAACTAGGTATATATCTGTTAACAAGGCCTTATAGCCAGTGACTTAATAAATTGATGCTATGTTCTGCTTCGACCATCCATTGCTTTTTTCAAATCGACCCCCACATCGGTCAACATCACCTGTCATACGTTATACATTTCCCAATCGCCTAAGACGATAAATATTCACAATCTCAAGTTTTACGTCCAAACTTGGTATTGCTCATTTGGTCGATACGCGGTAAATGCCCAGAAGATCTTTTTGATCAAAAACCTGCAAAGTAAGCATATCTCTCGTTTTCATAGACCATGTTTCACATCAGTAAAGTAATAGGGAGGATGGCTGTGCAGTATATTTACCCATTGGTCGGTGGATGGACATCTTGCCTACAGCACATATGATGCAAGCTGATAGAAGACAGTTGAGCTTCTTTAATCCTTGCTGAAACTCCATCGAACACCAACCAATCAGGGCTAATGAGACTTCCAAGATAAGTGAAGTGGTCGACACATCCAACTGCTTCACTCGCTATCATCAATTCAGACGTCGACTCAGATAAGTTTTTGAGCAACATGTTGGATTTAAAAGGAGAGAAATACATCTGAAACATGCTTGTATTACTGAAGGTTATTAGGAGGATGCATTTTGTTATCGTCTTCACCAATCAAAACTATGCCGTCTACTTCCTCCTTATGGACTAGCGAACTTCCTATTAGAGTATCACTTCCTGAAAGGTTAGATGAATAAAGGATGATTTCTATGTGGGGCATCGATGACGCGATTAAATAAAAGGGGATAGTACAGAACCCTTAGGAAAACCACTTGAATTTGATAATTGTAATGACATCTAGCCGTAATCGGTGACTTGACCAATGATGTTTGGGTGGGAATAAAAATCAGATTAATTGTCTGACTCCAGTTTGACTGGATCACCATGATGTTAACGAAATGTATTCCGCTTTACCTCTAATATATCGATCGACTTAATTCTCGTTACTGAATAACGGAATAAAACTAGCCAAATAAGAGGATGGTTTTTGGTTAAATATTTTCATACTTCCGTTAATGCGGACAAATGGTAAGAGAAAAGCTTACCAGAGTAAGTAAACATCCCAAGTCGACTTAATGAAGCATGACCCAATATTTGTAGTTAGATAAAAATCAGATGTGCGACGAAGAGTACGTAATGAGTACACACGCATACACGTTCATATAAGTTACTAGCGAATAACTAACAGGGTCCTATATATGTGTGGATAATGACTATAAAGAATCGGTTAATTGGTCTGTCCAAAAGCTATGTGGGTGGTTATTACTTTCCAGCCGACCACTCGTAGAGAGATACTCCTAAAGGTACTTGAAAATGAGACTAGACTAGTAGGAATTTTTTCAACCTGTGAGCATGACCGTATAACTTCTTGTGGCTGGCCACACATAGCCTTTCTGTCGGTGGTTCTTCATGTTCTGGCTCTATACTTTTAAAACATTTTTGCCGGGGATGGGAATCTATGGGCCAAAGTTAAATATGTTATTTTTGGTGGCGATCTTTTTATGGGGAGAGAACGTTCTTGTAGATGCTAGTTATATGAGAGAAATAACCTACTGCTGTCCTGTTTTAGTACAGTTAGTAACAAGTCTTTAGGTTGTTGCTTCTAGTCTTTCTGTTCTCCGACCGACCTGCCTGGCAAAAAGGCTATGTGTGGCCAGCCACAAGAAGTTATTCCTCGGGTTATACGGTCATGCTCACAGGTTGAAAAAATTACTACTAGTCTAGTTTCATTTTCAAGTACCTTTAGGAGTATCTCTACGAGTGGTCAGCTGGAAAGTGATAACCACCCACATACCTTTAAAAGAACTCGAGATTACCTTGTTTGCGATTTAATCTCTCTGTCGCTTCACAATAGTCATACTGTCTTTACTACCAATCCCTTTGCGAAGACTTCATATTTAACCCTACGCTATATCAATACTAATGGCTTAAGTGAACGAAGTACTGTTTCTGATCTTTTGAAACTGCATTTTAAACCGCATGTTGGGACTTTTAACGTTTTAACCTTATGTTAACTCTGAAAACATACTTTATTAGCTAGGACTCCAGAATTTCGTCCGGCTAACAAGTGCTACATCTCCAAAACTTGAATACAGGGTACACTTATGGTCACTTAGCCTAACTTAGTCAATATGATAAACTGTCGCGATTTACCCACCGTCTACCTAAGGTCTAGACTGCTACTTCTCGTGGCCTTGCTGATGTAGGTATAACACTAAGTTCAAATTCACAACATGATCTGTTGAACTAAGTTTCGAAGGACAGTTGCTTTCGCACTGCCCGATGAAATTGGACAGCAAGAACTCGGTAAGATGTGGACACATCCTGTTTACTTTTCGTTATCTCTGCCTAAAATCTAACTAACGGCGATACTGAGGAATCAAAATGAGTTTTACAAGAGGCTTTTGATCCACCTTTAAAAGGCTAGACCCTCAGATGCAGCTATTGTAGGCGATTTTAATGCCCACGTAGGTAGTCCAAACTTAAGTGAACGACACTTGGGTGAATCTTATGGTGTCCCAACTCGACGATAACGGCGACTGTTTACTGCAATGACGTTCAGATAACCGATCTTTTAATAAGCAATGACTTAAAGCATAAAAAAGACATTATCCGACATGGAGAGCCACGACATCAACCCAACGATGGATGAGAATAGACACTATCCCTGTCATCTAGTGTTGAAAAATCTTGGCAGAGGACCATCGCCCTTTCTGTTTAGACTTTGATCATGCTCTAGTGAGATAACTTGTTTAATTGCGTCTTGAAAGATGCAGAAAAGTCATAACTAGAAGAATCCTTAGAGTTTACCACGCGGACAAGAAATATAATATTTCTTGTCCGCGTCATTTTAATTGACTAGTCCTACTACAACGTCAAGGTAGCAGCTGCGGTCGTGATTTGAGGATGCAAATTTGGGTTAATAAGTTTGAAAATGGGTTATTTACTGTATGTTTAAAATTGTCATTTGTTTCATGATAATGATAAGTTCATGGTTCACGCATAATTACGGCTAAATGACGTATAATCTTACTGTTTAGGAATTGATATAGTGCCTCACAACTTTGTTACGTATACTCTTGTACTGTAATTCCTTGTTACTCGAACTTTATATATGAGTTCCCGATATCTGAAAGCACTAAGAGCGAACAATAACAGCACAAAACCTGAAAAAATGGTACATATTATTCAAAGTTGCTTAACAAATGATGTAGGACGTATATGCTTCACAAGCATTTAATAGATGTTGAGTTTTTCTAGGCACATGTTGACTTTTGATCTTCACTGGTTCATACTGCATCCATTTCAACTAATAATTTTGAATACTTTATTATTTTGGTATACAATCATACCTCCGTCACGTATTTTCCCTTACTTTCTGTATATTTTGAACCAGAGCTTCAGATACTGCTCTTCTAGCAGTGGCTGCTAACAATATTGTCTGTATCAATCAAGATCAAAATATATTCGACAGCCGTAAACGTATTAAGATGGCTTCTACAGATGGTTTACAATTTAAGCTTTTTTCGCGCCAACGTACTGATATGCTTATCAACCAAGCTTTGTTTTACTGGTACACGAACCAAGTAAGTTTTCGGTTGAATAAGTACATTTGTAGACTTTTAAAACAACTCCGACGCGTTTTTTCTTTCACATTTTCTGATTCGTCCAGAACCTTTGGCTTTTCTGGATGGTAAGCAATATTGCATATTTTAACTGTCCAGACTACGGAAAACATTGAGGACCAATGAAAAAATTTTGCATTTGTGGTTTGAATTTTCCCTCAAATATGATAGATAATTAAAAATAGTGATTCAGCCCGACCGAAGCTGCTAGCTTGACGCGGTGGTCGGGCTTGCCTATCGTGATGACCCAACCGAGCTATATTGGCTGGAACATATGTTCCTGTAGGTTCTACCATGCCACGCAGGTCGATTGGAGAACGGTAAGACTAAAAGCAGCAACTCAAGGTCTGAGAGCGAAGTCGTACTGCTGACTGTAGAGGGGTGTGACAGCAGTAAGGTGTTTCCCTCGGACAACCAGCATCTGCAGCGATGCTGCCTTCTCACAAGAAGGGGTGGGGTTAGAAAAGGTCGACATCGAAAATGTCACACCTCATCTTACCTCACGGATTTCCGTCTCTGGTGGTAAGGCCCTTTGAAGGATGGAGCTAACACATTAAAAACCTTCCACGGAAAGGCCGTGCGCGACCGGCCTCAAGCAGTTGTCCCTTGGGCTCTGCGGTCACGCTCCCAGGTCGTTAAGACCAACACTAATCCAATTTCCTTTTCAGGTTTCTCAAGAAATACCCTTCCACGGTGTGGGCAGCCTGGAAGTGATATCAGCCCTCACACCCGTAACAGCACACGAGACCAAGTTAGTCACATTCAAATCCTTCTTATACCTCCTAATACCTCTATTATCACCATGACTAACCCTCCTCATGTCTCTTTATCATCTCGCACCGCTAGGGCAAACGATTCGAGTACGCGGAACGCCATTCCTGGTCTCCTGAAACCACGCTCTAAACTACACGTAGGAGCTTTTAACGTACGAACACTGTGCCAAATAGGACAGCAGGCTTCCTTAGCTAAGACTTTAGAATCCCGCGCCATCGATATGTGCTGCGTCTCCGAAACGCGCATACAGGATCCCAGTAGCGTCATTCATTTGACCTCACCATGCCAAAGAGCCGACTCGGTTCACACTTCGTGTATCTGGAAGCCCTGATTCTGCTTCCCGTGGCCTCGCTGGCGTAGGTATAGCATTGAGTCCTAGGGCAGAACTAGCTCTCGTAGAGTGGATCCCAGTAGACAGTCATTTGCGTGCTGTCCGACTGAACGGAACAGTAAGGATCCCAAAAGATAGGGACACTCGTCGTTGCCTCTTCGTCGTCTCTGCCTATCCTCCCATTGACTGCAGCTCAGATGATGTAAAAGATGAGTTTTACAGAAAGCTTTCGGACCTTCTCCGAAAAGCTAAGCGCTCGGATGTAGTAATAGTGGCCGGTGACTTTAATGCTCAAGTAGGTAAACTAAGCGATAGGGAAAGACACCTAGGTGGATCTTATGGTGTCGTGGCTCAAAGAACAGATAATGGCGACCGTCTGTTGCCGCTATGCTCAGATAACCGCCTGTTCCTTGCAAATACTAACTTTAAGCATAAGGAAAAACATCTTTTAACATGGCGACCCCCTAATTCGTCCCAACGGTGGACCCAAATAGATCACATCGCTATCAGCCACCGATGGAGGGGCTCGATAGAAGACTGTCGCTCATTCTGGAGCACATGCCTAGATTCAGATCATGCTCTAGTGCGAGCGCGTATTTGCTTGCGTCTTACTGGACGTAGGAAAGACGCTGCAAGTAAACCTCTTAGGGGCCTACATAATGATAGTCAAGCTAAGAGTATATTTCAGGAACAACTAGGAAAACAGTTAGGCAGCCATGTATGTGATTCCCACCTCGATGCAGCATGGAATGATATCCGAAAAGCTGTGGAAACAGCAGTGATATCTGCTAGTAAGGTAAACCAGAAGGTTAGGGAGCAACACTGGATTTCAGCAGCATCTATCGCACTGATAGATGCTCGAAAACTCATTCCACCTGACTCTGAACATAATGAAGAGCGGAGTCAGCTTAAGCGCAAGCTGACAAGAAGTCTACGCGATGATCGTGAACAGTGGTGGGTAGCGAAAGCAAGAGAGATGGAAAATGCAGCGGCAATAGGTAACAGCAGACAATTGTTCAGACTTGTTAAGGAAACCGACTGTTAGCGAAACACTCTCAGAGAAAGATGGACATATTATACATTCTCAATCCAGGAGATTGGATCGATGGGCAGAACACTTTAGGGATCAGTTCAACTGGCCTTCAGCCACATTTCGGTTTCCCACGATCTCCAGTCAGCCTGAATGGCAAGTTGATGCAGGTCCTCCGTCTCTTTACGAAGTTGAAAAAGCCATAGGAAATCTGAAACGAGGGAGAGCAGCAGCCCCTGACAGGTTTACTCCTGAGATTTTTAAGGATGGTGGTTCAGTATTAGCAGTGAGATTAACTGAGGTCTTAGGTAGAATTTGGAAATTGGACGTAATCCCATCTGATTGGTCTCAATCACTGATTGTGCCAGTCTATAAGAAAGGACAAAAGTCCTCTTGTGACAATCACAGAGGAGTCAGTTTGACTAATATAGTGTCTAAAATATTAGCTTCAATAATACTTCGACGCCTAATCAAAGCTCGTGAAGAGCAGACTAGAGAAAACCAGGTCGGTTTTCGACCTGGACGTGGGTGTATAGATCAGATATTCACACTACGCCAGGTTCTAGAACACAGACACATTCAGACGCCCCACAATGGTAGTATTTCTCGGCGGCATTTGACTCTGTTGATCGTGAGGTTCTATGGCAGTGTTTGTCACTGAAAGGAGTACCAAAGAAGTACATTAATCTTATAAAGGCTCTCTACTCGAACACAACTGGTAGAGTGAGAGCTTATAGCGAACTGTCATCAGAATTGATTACCTCAAGTGGTGTTCGTCAGGGCTGTCCATTCTCCCCATTCTTGTTCAACTTTGGGGTCGACGTACTTTTATAGATAACATTTTCCTCATCTAAATTTCCAGGAGTTGTACTTTTGCCGGGAGATTCACTTGTTGACTTAGAATATCGATGACATAGTTCTATTTGGTGAAGACGCTGACAAAATACAGTCTTCTGATCACTCTAAGCAACAAGGCAAGCATGTTCGAGATGCGATTCTCTCCCTCGAAATGCGAAATGTTGCTTCAGGATCGGGTTGCATCGACACCTGAACTAATGATAGGGAGTGAAGTGGTTGAGCGTGTCGACCACTTCCCTTATCTTGGGAGTCCCGTCAGCCCTTGTGGTCTGGTGTGTGACGAAATCTCAGCACGGATACAGAAGGCTCGACTAGCTTTTGCCAACTTGCGTCATTTATGGCGTAGGCGAGATATCCTTCTATCAACCAAAGGACGTGTTTACTGTGCAGCAGTTCGTTCCGTCCTACTTTATGGCAGTGAAACATGGCCGGTAAGAGTAGAGGATATCCGTAGGTTACTAGTATTCGATCATAGGTATCCTCGAAATATTGTTTGTATATCCTGGGACCATCGAGTAAGTAATGTAGTTGTTAGGAAACGGGTACTAGGTAAGGATGGCAAATCAATTGATGACGTAGTGAAACTTCATCAGTTCAGATGGCTGGGATATGTGTTACGTATGCCCAACCACCGACTGTCCCGACGAGCGATGTTTTATGGTGTAGGAATAGGTTGAAAGAAATCTAGGGGCGGTCAGACCAAAACATGGCACAAGTCCATGAAGTCACTGACAAGTGGACTGAACCGTGTTGGTAGTTGTAGACTACTTGGTTGGGATACGCGAGACGGTAGCAACCGATGGTTAGAGACCTCGAATGATATGACTCAAAATTGTCTGCAATGGCGCAAGTGCATCCACTCTTTGTGTTCTCCCAAATTCTAATCTTCTGAATTCTTCATGTCCCTTTCTCTTTTCTCTTTCCAAATTTATTTCACTGAATTATACTCCTTGAATAACATCTTCAAACCCTGATTTTTCCAATGACGGCTTAAACTTTTACTACCTCTACCACTATGGGATTTGAATAGACAATCGTGTCTCTGTGCTAATATGGTATGGTAACTTGAACTCATGTACGTACGTACGAAGTTCTACTTTCTTACCGACTGACTGATTCAGCCTTCTGGGAAGAAACTAAGTAGAGCATGAGTTCATTTACTTTCGAAATCCCGTATTATTTCGTAGTTACTATATTGACTTAGTGATTCTCAATTCCTATTACGGTAAACTAGTTTATTTATTTTAGCTAAATATTTGATACCCAGAATTTATGATAAAGCTGTGAAACCCTAATCTGCTAATGTGGTGATGGTAGACTATGCAATAAATGTAATTATAAGGGAGTCTGCCGACTGTTTTTTGTCCCAGGATGCAGTACCAACAAAGTGTTTGTGATATGTGACCACTATTTTTTTTAGAAATTTTACCCCATACTCAAAGGAAGTTGTGCTATTAAATCTGTTTGCAGAAATATATCTGTTGAGTTCATGCATTTATGTAATACAAATGTAGTCGTGCAACCTGTTTTAAAATAAGCTGCCAGTGGTTTTTATTTATAGTGTTTTCCACTGTCTTCTATTACAAAAGTTGAATAATCACTGGCAGATTTTCATTAAAAAACAGCCTGTCTCAAAAACTCAAGTGTTAGTGTTATATTCCCCCCCATACAACTAAGGGTGGGTAGAGTCCGTTCTCCCTTTCGAAATGTTCTCACATGGCCACGCGTATACAGCTACTGTCAGGGAAGTCCTACTCACTGCTTTCTTGTAGCGGGGGTGTTGTTTACGAAATCGAGAGGGTGGAAAATAACTAGGTTGGTGGATATGGAGGATCCATCTAGGTGAGTTGGAAAACTTTGATTCCAAACCAATGGTGTCCATGGGCTCTAGGATCCTGAGGGAACAAATGGCATATGAGCTTATTGTTGGTCACCGGCTACCATGGGACTGAATCTCCTGACGTTTCTCCACTGCTTTTTGTATCACACCTTTAGGTCAAAGGCTCCGGGTGTGACCCCATAAGAAAACCACCTGCTTCGATCTGTGTACCCGGGTAGTATGACAGCCTCCATACAAATCAGGCGACTTGTATAGCGCATATGTATCTGGTGCCCCTTCGTGCCAATATTTATGTGTTCAAATAAATAAATAATAGGTAAGTTATTTGGGCTAATTTAAATTCTATAACTCAGACACCAGATGCATAATCATATACTGGAGTTTAAGCAAAACTTCATATTAAGGCTGGTGGTAGTACCTTGGGACCTAAACCGAAGTATTTGCAGTAGGGTTCGAACAAAAAACCCGTCGTTTCATTGTTGAATGTTTAACCACCTAACTCTCTCTTCGATTCGTATTATTCCTCTTATGTCGACTTTCAACTCTCAACTTGCTCTTTTGACTTCCTTCTTAAGTGTCACCATGGCTAACGATTCTAGTACGCAAAACACTGTCCCAGGTTTACTGAAACCGGGAAAAGTCTTCAACAGGGTATTGTTAAACAGGTTGAAGGACTGCGTAGACGGCCAACTTCGAGACCAACAGGCAGGATTCCGTAAGGATAGATCGTGTACAGACTAAATCGCAACTCTACGGATCATTGTGGAACAATCAATTGAATGGAATTCATCACTCTACATCAACTTTATTGACTACGAAAAGGCATTTGATAGCGTGGACAGAACAACACTATGGAAACTTCTTCGACACTACGGCGTGCGTCAGAAGATAGTCAATATCATACAGAACTCATATGATGGATTACACTGCAAAATCGTGCATGGAGGACAGTTGACAAAGTCGTTCAAAGTGAAGACCGGTGTTAGGCAAGGTTGCTTACTCTCACCCTTTCGCTTTCTCCTGGTGATCGACTGGATCATGAAGACGTCAACGTCTGAAGGAAAGCGCGGGATACAATGGACATCTAAGATGCAGTTGGATGATCTAGACTTCGCAGACAATCTGGCCCTTCTATCCCAAACGCAACAACAGATGCAGGAGAAGACAAACAGTGTGGCAGCAGCCTCAGCAGCAATAGGTCTCAATATACACAAAGGGAAAAGCAGGATTCTCCGATACAACACAGAATGCACCAATCCAATCACAATTGACGGAGAAGATTTGGAAGATGTAAAAACCTTTACGTATTTGGGCAGCATCATTGATGAACAGGGTGGATGTGATGCAGATGTGAAGGCGCGGATGGGCAAAGCAAGAGCAGCATATTTACAACTGAGGAACATCTGGAACTCAAAGCAACTGTCAACCAACACCAAGGTCAGGATTTTCAATACAAATGTCAAGACAGTTCTACTGTATGGGCAGAAACCTGGAGAACTACAAAAGCCATCATCCAGAAAATACAGGTGTTTATTAACAATTGCCTACGCAAAATACTTCAGATCCATTGGCCGGACACTATTAGCAACAACCTACTGTGGGAGAGAACAAACCAGATCCCAGTGGAGGAAGAAATCAGGAAGAAGCACTGGAAGTTGATAGGACACACATTGAGGAAAGCACCCAACCGCGTCACAAGACAAGCCCTCACATGGAATCCTGAAGGTCAAAGGAAAAGAGGAAGACCAAAGAACACATTACGCCGAGAACTGGAAATAGACATGAGAAAAATGAACAAGAATAGGATGGAACTAGGATGGAACCCAGGACAGAGTGGGTTGGAGAATGCTGGTCAGCGGCCTATGCTCCATTGGGGGTAACAGGCGTAAGTAAGTTATCTTCGAAGAATATTAGCTCTTAATTCTCTTCAAAAATTGTGTTTCGTCTAACAATACTCACTTCAGATCGCACTATTTTTGGTGTATTAATTTACACACATTATGCATTTAGCACTTATTCTTTCAGTGTTAACGTATTTTAAAAATCTAATCTTTTATGTAATTTCATTAAGCAAACTTCCGAAATATTTTATTGAATTTTTATACAGATGGAAGCTTGTACCGCAAAGCTACGTACAGTTTTACAAGAGGAGTTAAGTCCAAGAGCTTTGCTTTTATCGGCCGCTCAGTTAGTTAAAGAGAAAAATATTGATAAAGCAGTTTTACTCTTGGAAGTAAGTCGTTGTATGAATGCCATGTGTTATGACTTTAAGTTGTGGTCGATTTTTACCGTGTTATCGATCGATTACAGTGACACGTAAACACGAACGAACGGCCTAGAGCTCTGATTGGTCCTGCTTCCCTGTCTAGCCCAGTCAGTTGAGTCCAGAACACAAGTCACAGCCTCGGGGACATGAATCACTACATTTCAAACATACTTTGTTTATATACCCATCAAGCACACCACATCGTACCATAAAATAGAAAACAACATTTTGTACAAGTGAACAGATATCGACCAATAGGAAATGTCCATTTAAAGTCCAAGGACACCATTGGACTTAACATGATAATTATTGGTCTATTCCTGCGCATCCACAACACCATGTTACTCTTCGTAAAGATTTCTTGTTTCGTTCCATAAATCTAAAGTTCCACCCACCATTTCATTAGTATCCTGTTGCTTTTTATCGATTTTTGGCAAACCTTTTTTCACAGTAAATGTTTCTGGATGTTTTGGAAATAAATGATTTAACTACAAACGCATCAAATACTTACTTCATGTATAGTGTAATGAAAATCGTAACTAAAGCGAATTTATACTGACCGTCTATACGAAATATTTTTTTTATACGTAACGACTTAAATAAAAATCGAACTTTAGTCTGTTACATTAACATTTTTGGGTTCTAGTTGATTGGATAAATAAGTGATCCTGAAACATTCCATTACTTGCCATATCCTAGTTTTCCTTTAATCACATGTTACTTATATTACACTGTCATCAGCACTTTCAGGTCTACACTGAATAAGGATAAATTACAGTTTTCTGATGAAAGCAAATGATGAAATCGATTTCGGTTCACTATTCAATTCCAATCAAACAGATAAAGCAGATCCCCTTTTCAAGTTTAATTATGACATATATTTTTTAGGCTTCACATATTATTGGAGTACTGTGGAAATTAACACATAAAAGAGGTACTTCTGGTGGTTTTTACTATGAATTATTATTATTTTGTTAAAGTGTAGTGGCAAACACAAAGATTAGCTTTCACTTGAGTATCTGTTAAGAACATGTGCCAATGTACACTTATTAAAGAAATACATGAATACTGATACAAATCGGCATTACAAAATAAATATACTCCACTCAAAGAAGAAAGCGATATTGAGAAAAGAGGAGGCGTACAATCTCAAAAAATAAACGACAGTTCAAAGATTAATTCCCTGAGGCCTACTGCGAATAATGCCATTGCATCAATTGTCTAAGTCTAGGGGCCGAATTACTGAGTGAAGAGTGAAAACTATCAATTTGATTGATCTACTGAATATGTGTATTCGATGTAACTACTAATGATGATGCAATGAGAAGTATAGTTGCCGAGTTATTTGGTGTTGATTTGGTTGTCAGTCAGTGGGAGTGCTATTTTACAGATCTTTATGGGTTTCCGTACGTGTTTTAAGATTTCAAATGAGCTGTTTCAAAAAAAATATTTTGGTCGATTTCCGGTCAAATTTTAGGGTAAAGAAAGATTTCTAGGCAATAAAATTATTTAGCATCTATTCTTAGTAACCTAGACACAATAAGTTCTTTAATTTAAAATTAACATCAAACTAGACATTATCTGTGCTAATACTGATTTCTAACATGTTTCCACCTAATTCTTGTCGCTTTACCTTTAGAGTTATTTGTCCAATATTACTGGTAATCAGGTAGATGCGGAAATCCCTTTAGCTTTGGCTCAAATAAATCTTCGCCGAATATCTGCAAATCATTTGGGAACCGGTAGTCCGCAACCTAAAAATGCATTAAATGTAGCCCAAATGCTTGAAAACATTCTTCCCCAGCACTTAATTCATTCTCCCGGTGTTTTGTCAACACGGATCTCTTTATATCTTTTAGCGAGCTCTGGTGAAAATGCTGTACAAACACGTCCCGATAGCATGAAACAAATAGTCAATTGTATTGAATCAACCCTTCATTATTATGAAGAGTTAGGAGAACAGGTAATTCTCTTCCCTATATATAATGAATTGAAGATAATTTCCGAATCAACTTGTTGATGTTTTCCAGTCCGAACTTTGATACTTGTATTTTCTACTCTTGGTATTCATGTGAAAAACAAAAATGGGTGAAACTTGAATATTAGAAAGTTTATTACTAAATGTATTCGTGGTTTGTCATTCTTCGTCTTTTATGATTTGATTGTTGTATCTCATATGATTTTATACATCATTTATTGAGTTCATGGCAGTCTAAATGCAGCTCGAGAAGTTTTATTATCATAGGTGAAAAAATGGATTTGACTGATATTATTTAAACTATTGGTTTCTATTCTCAGGACTTAAACTTCATATAAATATCGTTACAACTCTGAATGAATATGTAATGTAGAGTCTCTAATTATTGTTCTAAGGCCTTTAAAACCCAACGTTCGCACCACTTTGAGTACTTTGTCAAATATCGGAAAGCGTCATTGGAACTGAACTATTTATTTTTGTTATCATCAGTAAGACTAACATTTGAATTTAATTTTAACTTGTATTAAATTTTCCATTTGTTGGACTTCTTTGATGGATACTTTTATGCGACTTAAACTATGGTTTTCTGGATGGATGTCTTCAGAATGAAACTTATTCACATTTGTTGGATAATTGTGCTGGATTTCTTCTGCAACAAGGTGAGGCAAAACTTGCGGCTGAAATTCTTGAAAAACAGTTAGCCCGACTTGAATCAAACGTTTCTCAAGAAAAACAAAATAGTTTAATCAAACAAGTACTGGTAGCTCGTTTGGTACGTGCCTACGCACAGTTTGATCGTCCTAAAGCCGAACAAACCTGTAAATCATTACAAGCTAAAGAATCCCTCTCAGAGGCTGATGTAGATACTTTGGAAACTACATTTTTATATGGAGCAAAGTCTTTAAAACGGCTTGGCAAACCCAGTGAGCCAACGGATATTTCAGACAAGGGCAAGTCAAAACGAAACCAAATAAAAAAAAACATTTCTAAGTAAGTGTTTGAACTTATATATTCATTTAAAAACTTAATTATCCAAAATCTTGGCGCACTCAAGGCAATTGATTGCTTTATAACCAATTACTGCTAATTGACGCATAACCAATATTGAGTAGTGTAGTGTACCAGAATTATTCTTGAGAATTTTTACTTGTAAGTAATTGCGGATTTTAGAGAATCTTCATAAAATATTCTTAGTGTTGTTACCTTGAAATTTCTTCCGAACAATAAATTCAATCAAAGGACAAACAGTCAGATCGTGAGAATCGGTCATTGGTACATTTTGGAGCTAACAAGCAAATTGAAAAGAAATAACTGTCTCAATTTATTTTATCGAGTCTTCTTTTGAGCTGATAAAGAAGTCGTTCAGAGAGACCGTCTGTGATCCTCGTTGAAAGGAAATTAAAATGTAAAAACCTATCTAATTACCAATTTGAAAAAATGTAAGATATTTTTTGTATTTCACCAGTAATTATATATCGATGCCTAATCTAATGGAAAAATGAATTGCTGTGAAGTTCTAAATTTCTCTACTATTTTGCAACTTTGCTATTTGTTTCTTATTTCCTCATCCACAGAGTTTTATTGTAAAGTTTGTTTCCTAATTACAATCCTCATTTCAGTTTCAGGACCAGTTGTTTATTATCACACTCAACATTTAGGACGGTTATGTTTCAACTTTTTTCATCTATATTACTGTCTGTTAGTATTATTAACACTCTGAAATACGGATTACATTCAGAAATGAAACATAATTGTACGTGGGAAAAAATCGAATTGCCCCGTAAATTTACATCAAACAATAATATTGAAAATAAGCTCCAAAATATACAGTGTAGTACTCAAAACCTAATAAATTAGCAACTTATTAGTGTTTTGTAAGCTGTTATAAAAATCCTTGAGTTATATTTTATATGGATAAATTTTTCGTGGGTTTCTAAAATGAGCTAAATCTGTTGAATAATTAATCCAGTCAATGCTCTATTAGTTAGTTCAAAAGTGACTGATACTAGAAATATATAACTTGTCAGTAGAAAAACTGAGTAGGCATTCTTTATTGACCTAGTACTTAATTTATTGCTCAACCTTATTTTACAATAAACTGAGATTGAATATTCTGAACAACTTCGATATACCGAAGATTAAGGTCATGAAGTTTTGAATGGTTGATCAGAAATTTTTAAAGTCACCAAACATTGTATTCTTTGCTGTTATGTATATTAATTGTGTACTACTGTAATTCTACTTTTTTAAAATTTTATTTATCAGTACTCCTTCCTCAGATCCTGGTGTGCAGCAGGTTACTTCGCGTTCTAAGCGTAAAAAGAAGAAGATTCGCCTGCCAAAGAATTATCAGCCAGGAGTTATGCCTGATCCTAATCGTTGGTTACCCCGACGAGAACGTACTCACTATCGTGGCAAACGTCGTGACAAGCGATTTGCTCCTACACGCGGTCCTCAGGGTCAAATAACTGGAGAAAGTGAATGGTAAATGCTGTTTCCGTCATATTTAGTCTGTTTATTTAGTTTTCGCGCTCGTTACTTCTCACTTATTAACGCGCTGTTTTTAACTATTAAAATATTGGCACTAATTCATGTGTGTACGTAACCATGTAGGCAACGAATTCTACCAAAACAGTCAAATCTTCTGATATCTTGGAATTGACCATTTTAGTGTATACATTTATGAGCACAATAATTGTTAAATGCCGGCTCAGAGATTTGAATGTTAAGCCTTCGCGCTCGAGATCGAAGTCCTGGTTTCGGTTTCTGCGTACGGGGGGGGTGATGCTCATTGCTGAGTAATATACTAGGACTAAACGGCCGTCCAGTGATTCCAAGTTTTCAACGGTGGTCTCACATTGATCTGTTCATGATTTCAGTGAGACTCAACAATTCCTACAACCCTATACTGACAATTAAGTCAGATTGCGAAACGTTATCTAGCTACTATCTTGGGTAGCATGAAGACGACAGAAGTTACTCTTGTTGGTGAAAAAGTTCCACAAGTTATTTACTAAGATTTTAATCAGTGATGTTCCTGCGAAACACTGAATACTATTACTAGGCTAGGAGGAGCCTTTCCCTCAACCCTGGGGTGAATCGCTGGTGTTTGTTTAGCACACAGTGTCAATCTACGTATAGTGGAAGCCAAAGTAGCTTATCCCCATTTGGGTTAACTTTGGAGACATCTTTACGTTATATTAACCGTAAAAGGTTCGGTTTACGTGTCAGTTAGAGTAGTTGTGCTCTTTTTCCATGTAACCTGACCTCTCAAAGCTGATGTGCAGTGTCTCTATGTTGCATTATTGATGATATCCAGTGGCAACATAGTCTTAGTCATGTAATACCTGACAATGGGTATTTTGGACATGGGTGATAATTCAAATGGTGTCATCGTCATGGAACATCAACTTCAGTAATTGGTTCGTGTTCTACGAGTTCCATTTCACTGACTTCTACATCGAACATCATTTGTTGACTCTGACAGTTAGTGGAAAAAGCGATGTGATGGTCAATTTATGAAATAGCGCTGTGGCAAGGAGATGATACTGTGATTTGTCGGTCTTTATAGAACTTGGAACTCAATAGTTTAAGATGTTATTAGATATGGCTCAAAATGGAAGTCCGTAGTAATTCAATCCTGATTTTCTTTCACACTACAAAAGTGAAATCAACTTATTGGGCCAAGATAAGTCTTTCTCGACTATGTTGCTAAGTAAACCATAACTCTCATTATTTATTTGTTGATTTTAGTAGGATTCGTTTACTTAAACAACAAACTATATGTATTGTTTTTTATTCACCTTAGGAGTTTTGAATTTAGAATTATTTATAAATGCACATAGAATAACCAGATACATAATATTTTTATCATAAACTATTCAATTGTAGATTCATCTATACATAAATTTAAATTTAGAAAAAAATTTCATTTTAGGGATGCTGCTATACGTAGTCCTAAAGTCAAAGTTCATGAAGACGGTTCAGCAGGATCTACTCCTAAACAAATGTCTAATACAGCTAAACAGCAACAAAAGAAAGGTCGTAAGAAAGGCCGATAATATTACCAAGACTAAATAAGACAACAGAATATCTAATTAATCTGTAATTTTTTGATCGTGTAATATATATAATGTATTGTGCATCTATGTACATGTTATTTGTACTGTAATATTTCTTTTTGGTTCAAATTCTGGAAACATTTGTATGTATACCTAGTGAAATATATTTGTTTTTATTAGATAATTCCGTTTGACAGTATATTCTTAATAATTAAAGCATCATTTTCATGGGTTACAACCTTTAATTTCTTATCATTTATTTAATATTCATTATAAGTGTAGTGGTTGTTAGTCTTTTTCATTATACTTGTTCTTGGAAGGTTATTTCTTTTTTTTCTTCTTCATTGTATCACTACATATTTATTTGGTCTTTATGAATTATATTTTTATTTGGTATTCATGAGTAAGAATTAACGGTGTTACCACTTCCTAATATTGTTAAATATGTGTTTCTTTTATTTAAAATTATGGTTTACCTCTAAAATAATGTAGAGAAGAAAAAAAGTATTTCTGTGTACATCTACGTTAGAGCGTAAACACAGTGATATTATCTTGTTAGAATAATGGTATACGAGAAATGTGACTATATTTTAAGTAATCAAAAATAAATACTGATTGTCTGGGAATTATTATCTTTGATTAATATTATCTAAGGTAAATAATGTGATTGATTTGAAGTATACTCTTAGAAAAAATGTATTTATTTTTAATTAGGAAAGTGTGACTGATAAATGGAATAGCAATGCTGACTAGCGTTGGGGACTGTTGGAAGAAAGTTAGGGGCGGTCAAACCAAAACGTGGCATCAGTCCTTGGAGTCATTAACTTTTAGTCTGGGCCATGTTGGTAGATACAGACTACTTAGTTGGAGTCCACACGACTATCGTAACCAATGGTTGGAGACTTGGTGACGGCTCAGAATCTATCACAAAGGAGTCAGTGTATACACTCTTTGTCTTCCCTTAAACTAAGAGATTAAAATCACTTCATATCTTTCTTTCTATGAACTAATTCTTTCTTCCTGAACTATATCCTTATTGCAATCTTTCTTTTATATATTACCACCTCTGAATTAACTAATTCTATGAATCCGGTGTTCATCTTGTTATGCTATTGAGGTATGGTAACTTAAACCTATGTGCCTAGTCCTACGTTGTAGCTGACTGATAATAGCAATAGTGTAAAATAAACTAAGGCAGGAAAATCTGATCTATTAATAATGGGTAAGGGGATTAAGAAATATTCATGAATTATTAATAATGGATACGGTTGTTTTAAGGTAAATAAATTTAGCGTATTTGAAATGTAAACATTACAAAGGATGCTGCTTTACTTAAAAGTATCTCATTACCTGAATTCATTGTGAAGTGCTTTTATCTAAACAATTATTAGTATTCATTATGTAGTTCCTTATAGGTAGCCTATTAAATAGTTATTAAATCTATAATAATTATATCCAAGAGCTCATAATTCAATTACTAAGGTTATATAACAATCATTTGTATATCTCTAGACTACAAAACTAATCGAAAGTGCAGATTTCTTTGTATATACAAAAAGAAGCTTTGGGTCCTACGATACGATTAAATCGCATACATTAACTTGTTCAGAATTTGATAAATCTGACGTATTCATTTTTTTAATTAGTTCCAAAAGAGAGAAAGGTTTGATGACTGTACATTTAAACTACCAAACCGCAAAAAAAACAAAAAATAGGATTATATTACATAAGCAGCTAGTGCATTTTTAAAACTGAGTAATTAATTCATTAGTTAACTATCCGTAGTAAGATATCGAGCAACAATTATTTGTTTAAAGATAAGGATGAGAACATGTCTTGAGAGGAAAACGTTTATTCAAATCGATGATAATATATGGGACTGGGTTGCACGGAGTTGAATGGTGCGGATCAACAATAAAAGTATAGTTCAATATGTACCTTATACGTGTATTCGTCTGAGGACATAAAAGCTATTGAAATGTCTAAGCAGTGTGAATATAATCTGTTCATTCAAAGTCTATTAGTCCACACATCAAATATAGACACAAGTTATCTCAGAAAGCTTCATAATTTCCTATTTTATCTTCTTAATAGCTGTGGATAGGAATTCCAAATTGTTGAATTTCTTTTGGTTGGCCATTGTTTTAGTAGTAAAATGAATCAAAATACATGTTCACTTATATCTTTAGACTTCACGATACATTTGGGTTACGCACAAATTAATTGGTTACATTTGTGTGTATGTTGTCTAATCTCGTGTAAGTGAAATAATATTTTGCTAAGATATACATAACAATATCTCTCAAACCAGTCAGTTGCAACTTAGAACCCGGTAGTTATGTACATTGATTCAAGTTATCATGCCCCATTAACACAGAGAAATAAAATTGTCAGGGTAAATCCCAATATCATAAAGGTGGTAATAGTAAAGATCAGGCATCGAAGATAATCCAAGAAAATATAAATTAGTAAAATAGAAACGAAAACGCGTGAGGAATTCAGAATCTTAGAATTTGGGGGCAGGCAAAAAGTGGATGCGCTTGCGTCACTGCAAACGATTTTAAGTCTCTAAACATTAGACATGATAATCTCGTGAACCCCAGCCAGGTGGTCTATACTTAATAACATCCAATTGTCAGTGACTTCTTGGACCGATCCCATGTTTTGGTTAGGCCGCCCCTAGCTTCCTTCCACACCAGACAACAGTCGTTGAGGTAGGCGGTGGTTAGGCATACGTAACACATGTCCCGAATACCTCAGTTGGTGGAGATTTACTACCTCATCAATCGATTTTTCATCCTTACCTTGTACCATATTCCTGACCCACATTACTTACTCCGTGGTTTCGAAATACACGAGCAGTGCTTCGAAGAGACTTATGATCGAATAATGGTAACCTATGAGTATCATCTATTGTTAATGGCCATGTTTCACACGTATAAAGTAGAACAGACCGAACTGCTGTGCAGTAAACTCATCCTTTGGTTGGTAGATGGATATCTTGCATACGCGACAAATGACACAAGTTGGCAAAAGCCAATCAATCATTCCGAGATTTCGTCAGACATCAGGTCTAGTGAGACTCCCAAGGTAGGTGAATCGGTCGGTATGTTCAGCAATCCCAATTCCTATAATTAGTTTAGACGCCTATGCAAGTCAATCCTGAGGTAAAATTTTGCATTTAGAGGCAGAGAAACATCCCCAAACACAGTTGGATTGTTGCTTAAGATGATCAAGAGACTGTATTTTTTCAGTGTCTTCAACAAACAGAACTATATCATTTCCGTATTCCAAGTCAGCAAGTGAATCTCCTTGTAGAAGATCAACCTCTGGAAAACCAGATGATAAGTCTTATCTCTACTAGCGTGCCTATGACAAAGTGTGGTATATGTACCAGCTAATGATTCCTTTGTACTTGATTGCTTATTCCAAATATAATACGTTCATTTGTGCTCATCTAGTTCTGTCTGCCTCAAATGGCAGTATCTAGAGAATTCCTAGTTAGCACATTAATTCGAACAGTTCTAATTATTATATTGGTGTTGTGATGGAGCCAAATATTGGACAGTTGGATATTAATTCAAATCGGATGATTATATGGAGTGGTTCGTATTCTGCCGCTTGACTAGAGAAGACATTAAATATAAGTTCACAGCTTATCTTCTGACGTTCATCGGCAAAGAAGCCTATAACTTGCTAGAGAATCCGGCTTTTCCAGAGAAACCGATAAGATTGCCATTCAAGGAGTTACTACTTAATCATGTTCAGTGTGCTGGCTTTGAATGTAGAGAGATAGAAGTTTCACAATATATATATATATATATATATATATATATATATATATATATATATATATATATATATATATATATAACTTCCAGTAATTCACTTCATATTCAGAAACGACTACACCTGTCCAATGGTGCTTTTCACGATTTCATTGTCCACACTGGAAGTTTCAAATGCTATAATTATCCCTACCAAAGGTTATATTTCGAGTATTATTTGTTATAAAATTCCTATTCTCGAGTGCTGTATTTGCTGATTAGGACGACAAATCTTCAGTCCTAAATTGTGAATTCCTCATCACTGATTGTGGACCATCTATCCTGGGTTTAGAAAATCTAAGGATGCCTCGAGGACAGATTTTCTTACTGACCACTGAAGATTATTCTAATGAAATGCTTGGTGACTTGATAACTACAGAATCGAAGTTCGAAAGACTAAGTACGACTGCAAAGTCCTTTCATTCTCATGCGCAAGCCAAAAATGTCGAGAACTTGAAAACAAACGTCATTTCTATTACTGCTGCAAAATTCAAAGACCCGACGAGAGTAGATAAAGTCTCGCACTGAAGAATCGCCAGACTATACGCAAAAGAAATAATGATGAAATTGCTTAAACAAAAAGAATCTTCGTCCAATTAAGGAACGTTTAGTCCGTCGATGTTACATACTATACAGAAGCTAATTTCCCACAATCTACGAAAGGTCTACTAAAAAATGTTGATAAATCTGTGGTCTATGTGCAAGCCAGTTACAATAACGCTTCTCCAATCGACCTTTTTGGCATGACAGGATCTAAAGGAACATGCAATCTAGCTAATGTATCTCGATTGAGTCATCAAGATAGGCGAGGCCGACCACTACGTTAAATTAGCAGCTAAGTTCGGGGTGCAGCTAGCAATACTAATCTTAATGCAGCCTTCTAATAAAATTAATATTGCTTGCTATTCCCCGTTTTTCTTATGTTTTCAATTTTTACTCTCGATATGAGGTGTGGGATCTTGCACTGATACACCCTTATACCAGGTCCTACATAGCTGATGACTGACAAACACAAGTAAAAGAATTGCATCTCATTACATTAACAATGGGTTCATTCGATAATTTATCAATTAATCTCCATAAACGAATATAGCGGCACCAAACTATATACATACACGTGACTAAAACAGGAAGTTTATACTTTAGTCTATCGACTGAACCTCCAGTTGCATTAAAACTGCATTTGTTGATACGCCCACCTAATTACTTTTTAAAACTTCTAGTACTAAAAGTTTGTTACGTCTAGAATATAAGAAGAATCGTTGAAATTAGTGGTTATATTACAGAATATAATTGCTAATACAAAAATATAAAACATGATAAATAAACATCTAATGAATAAATTCAAATGCGAAGTATTACAATACAAGTCATATAATTAGTAAAATATATGATTTGAAATTAAATAAAACAAGAGAATGAGCAAAGGTGTCAGAGATGATTAAGAATTCGAAATAAGCATATTTATTTCAACACTATGACAAAACAAATGTTTAGATAGGAATATTAAAGTAAAGAAAACGACGGTAGTTTCAACTCATCGGTGAGCATACCAGCATTGCACTCAAAGTGTAACAGTTCTGTAAGCTGTTTAATTGTCATACTCATCAATT